TTTTAGAAACTCGATAGGGCGCGTCCGTAGACGGGTCCGGTTCGCCGAACATATAATATGAAAACCTTGAAGTACCTAAATGGGACATGTCCAAAGACAAAAAAAGGATTTTTAGACTTTTTATGAGATGTTTTATGACATGAGAAAAAGGATTTCTTATATATATGAGTATTTTATACATGCATACACACTACATGCATATGTTAACTTACCGGACTCGTAGTTCATATAGTTCCTTATGGTGTAGATAAATAAGATACTATGGCTTACTTCTCTACGGAGCTGATTTCCGAGGAATGCATTAGACGGTTATACCTTGGATGGGACTTCGGGATCCGGTGGACATACTATATGTGATTTTATTTACAATACTAGCTATTGACTTGCATGTTCTAGAATTAGTCGGAATGTGTTATGTTATATTAGAAGCAATGAACAAGTGTAGTACTTTAAAATAATATAGTTAGTAAATAAGTCAAAAATTTTAATAGTTGGTATATAAGTAGTTTTGTATGTAAATTAGTAACGTGTATGAACTGAAATACCGATAATAAAATGATAGCGTATCGATAGTAATGTAGTTACTTTAAATTATCCACTACGTGCTAGCATCCTTGAATATTTAAGAGAATTTCTTAATTAATCATTAAATAAAAAGAATAATAACTATGAAAGAGAATAAGTAATATAATAATAACTGATAATAAGAAATTATATCTCAATGAATTACAATAGTTAGTAAAAAAAGGATTTGAACTAGCGAATAACCTTGAATTCAATTTCAAGTATCCAAGTAAATAGATCAAACGCGAAAAATTTATAACGTCTTTTAAGTTAAAGTATAGGACCTACTCGACCAATACTAAATTTCTAAAACATAAATTTCACTCTAGACATTAAGTCACGAGTGCTTTGTTAGCTTGTATTCATTGCACTTCAAATGTAGGTTAACGGTCGTAATATTCTCGACCCATTAAGTCCTAGGTCGAGGGTGTTACATGAAAGCCCTTTTCGGCTTAAAACTTGCACGGACCCACATTACCTTATGCTTAATTAACTAGAAGAGAAATGAGGGTGGTGAGATTCAAATTTGCAATCGTTTAGTCATCAAGGCTCTAATGCCATGTCAAAAGACCATCTCACCCAAAAGCTTAAGTCGTTATGTGAGGTCTTAAGATATGATTTATATTATTCTCTAACAACAACGGACTTATCGCATGCATGATGTCCGGCTCGGTTGTAGTCAAATACATCAAGTAGTCTATTAAGTTCCTATGTTGCCCTTAATAAACCTTTTCAACACCATTTTCTTTGTAGAACTTTTCTTTTTGATTCATTAGTGTTGCAGTTGGCTTGCACTCTTCTATGCTAAACTTTTTTAGTATCTTCTTAGCATATTTGTGATGACATATGAATTTTCATTATGTTTTTGTTATATCTCCATTCCAAGGAAGAATGACATCTTCTTAAGGTCCGTCATCTCAAAGACATCCCTTATTTCTCCTTTGAACTTGTCAATCAACACTTCATTGCTTCATGTCACTAGTAAATCATCAACATATAGAGATAAAACAAGTATATCATCATTAACCTTCTTGATATATAAAGCAAATTCACTTAAGCTCTTTTCAAAGCCTAAGCCTACCAAATATGCGTCGGCTTTACTATACTAGATACTTAGAGCTTGTTTTAAGCCATATGAGGCCTTTCGGTAGATATACTTTTTCCTTTTGCCCTTGAACAACAAAACTCGAAGCTAATCCGACAAAATTTCCTCCTCTAAGCTTCCATTCAAAAAAGCTAATTTCACATCTATTTGATGTATGGTCCGACCTTTTGAAGTAGAAAGAGCCAACAACATTTTTATTGTATCCAATCTAGCAAAAGGGGTAAATATTTTTTAGACATCCCCCTAAATATTTGTGCATATCCTTTGACAACTAGTTTTGTCTTGTAGTTGTTTGTAGAACTATCAAGATTAAGTTTGATTCTATTGATCCAATTCACTTCTATAGCTTTCTTATGTGTAGATCCATCCACTCGACTCTCAAGTTTGATTCTTTTCAATCATTTTAATTTTCTATTTCAAGTGCTTCTATCCATTTCTAATCAATTATTGCTTATTCGTACCTAGTAGGCTTTATGATTGCTACATTACACTTCTAATAATATTAGAGAGTATTATGATGTCTCTTACTAGAATTTCATCTATTTTTTCGTTCTCTTCGTAAGGCTTGAGACTTCAATTTTATCTATATCATTCTAAATGTAGCTTTCTATTTCAAGGAATTTGACATCTCTGTCGACAATTAGTTTGTCAAATTATGCTAGATAGGTTTTTGAGATGCTATCGTAGCCTATAAAAATCCTTGGTTCTGCTTTCTTGTCAAGCTTGTCTCTCTTGGGTTGTGAAATATAAGAAAAACATAAACGACTAAATGTTTTTAGAATAAATAGCATTGGTTTATAACCAAACCAAGCTTCAAAAAGAGTCATTTTCTACACTTGTTTTTTGAAGTTTCGTTCATCGAAAGACTATTATATTTGTAGCCCCAACCCAAAATCTCTTAGGGAGTTTTTTGTCATGAAGCGTACACATTGTCATCTTTATAATTTTGATGTTTTTTCTTTTCATAACTCCATTTTGCTCGGAGAGTGTATGGAGTCGTCAATTGTGTTTAATATTTGCATCTTTACAAACTTGTAAAACTTATTTGAAGTGTATTCGGTTCCATTATCGATTTGATCACTCGTATTTTCCACCCATTTTGGTGTTTCCATCATGCTTTAAACTTCAAAAAAAAACAAAAAAACAAAAAAACAAAAAAACCAAAAACCTTAGCAATCTCATATTTGAAGTTTAGGAAGTAAATCTAACCCATTCTTATGAAATCATCAATGAAAGCAATATAATATTTACTCCTTTCAATGATGGTGTTGTTTGAGGTCCCCCTATATTTGTATACGGTAATTATAGTTTCTATAAAGCTCTTCATGCTTTGTTCTAAGAGAAAAGAAGCCTAGTTTACTTCCCATGTTGACGAGCGACAGATGCGAGAGAAATCTTCCTTCAAATTAGGTAGACTCTCCACTAGATTGTTTTTTTTTTTTTATGAAAGCAAAACTTCATGGTGAAAATGTCCTATGCCATAGCGCTGCATTACTATTTTCTCTCATTACTATAGCTTACTCCTCTTCTAAAAGATTCAAGGAAAAGTTTTTGCATCTTATAAGGACTTTAAATGCATCCCTACCTTTTACATCTTTAATCATGCTATCTTCTCCTCAACAAGACCTTATAGCTCTTCTCCAATAGTTGTGTAGCACTTAAGAGATTTTGATAATCTCAAACACATATAAAACATCATAGATGAGTTTCAAACCTAGTATGCTTTCTATTTCAATTGTGTCCTTGTCTTTGATAGCAATACAAGCTCTATTTCCAATCCTAATTTTAGAAATAAATTTTTTTTCAAGCTCTTTAAAAAACTCACGGTCATATGTCGTGTAGTTTGTGCAACCACTATCTATAAGCCAAATGTTAGTAAGACTGCTACTAGCAAAGCATGATGCACAAATAGTTGCTCTTTTTAGGTTGTTCTAAAAGAGCCTTTGCTTCTCCATATTGTTATTGAGACCTATAAATTATCTCTATGTGACTAATTTGATCACATTTCCTACATTGAACATCTAGTCTCCACTAACACCTTCTCTGTGGATATATATATTTTTTTACTGTGTGGACAGGGTGGAAAATTTTTAGCTTTCTTGTTGTTGTGGCCTAAACATGCTCCAGGCTTGTTGTTATTGTTCAGCTTTTTTTTCTTATTCTTGCCGCCACTGTTTTTCTGTGATCTGGCTTGAAAACCAGCCTCCATGGATCCTTTTTTCCTTACAAGCCTCTTTTATTCCTGTGCTTCTAGTGTATTGATGAGTTTTGTTAAGGAAATGCTTGACAAATCTTTTGTCTCCTCCAGATAAGAGATTTTAGCCTCATACTTCTCAAGTAGTGAAACTAGAATCTTTTAAACAATTCTTTCATCAGAAAAATTCTTGCTAAGTAATCTCACCTTGTTTACTATATTGAGCAGCTTGATTGATTCAACTCCTTCATTCCCAATATTTCAAATTCTCAAATCAAATTTAACACATGCATGCATGTTCTTTGTCCTCTCATTGCTCTAGTACTCCTCTTAATATAATTCCAGATATGCTTTCAGATTATAGATTTATAATTTTGGTGAAAATAGTATTTGAGACAGCAGAGAATAGGCAAGCCTTGATCTTGAAGTTTCTTATCTTTTTCTCCTTGTGATTCATGAGTTGAGCCATGGTTAGATTGGCTGGCAATGCCGGAACATGATAATCATCAGTCGGTGCCTCCCAGAAATCCAATGCTTCAAGATGAATTGTCATTCGAATAGCCCAAACTTGATAGTTTTAAACATCAAAGATAGGTGGTGAAACTGATGTGAATGTTGCTTCTGGTTTTACTTTTTGAAATTGTTTGTGGGATTTTGTGTTTGTTTAATTAAGATTTGGAAATATGTTTAAGACTCACTCAATCTCACAAGTCTCTCAAGAAAATCTGACTCTAGTACCAATTGTTGGTTTTTTGACATAACAAAGTGCAAAAAAAAAATAGCAAAAATTGATTTTTTTTTTTTTTGGTAACAGAAATGATCTCAAAATTTCACTGATGTTTCTTCCTTAAATACATAAATATTTCAACTGAAAACTAAAAAATCTCGTAAACTGTAGGAACATAGAGCATAACTTTTACGAACATAGAAGAACATGGAGCATGATCACTAACAAACTGAAACATGGAGCATGACTTCTACACTCTAGGAACTTCGAGCATGACTAAGAGCTCCTGAGACATGACTTTCAACTAAACTCTTTTAACAGGTGCCCTTTATGTATGATATTTTCTGTTCGAATTTGGCTATAATATATGGTCATAAAACGCAACTTCAACAAAACTTTACTCATTGCTTTCAGCTGTCTGCAACATAATGTTGTTGGATTACAAGAATGGATGCATTTCGTGCAAACTCAGATGTAGATAATGCCTCTCCCAGTACTCCTAGATCTTTACAATCACTCCACTCTGATAGCCCTAACGTGAAAGGAGATTCCACTCCTTGACCCCTGCCCAACATATACAGATCACAATAATCAAACATTTCCTTTATGGTTCTCATAATATCATCCCCATTATTCACCACCTTTTCTAAATAAGTTACTCGATCATTGCACATTGACTTGAATCTGAACTCATTCACATATTTCTCATCAATTTGTTTATCATTCCCACTCCCTTCTGCCTCTTCCATTATACTTTTTGCCTCTTCTCCTGATTGAAAGCGTAAAACAGTTAAAAGAACATCGGAAGAGCCTGCCATCCTCCATGCGTAAGCTAAGGCTTCGCGATCATCGGGTCCACCGGTGAAAAGCATGACAACATTGATTAGTGGCTTCCCTAGATCGATCCCCTTATCACGAATGTTTAAATGAAGCCCTCGGTCAACAAATATACCGACTGAACATGGAGCTTTTGCTAGAAGGTTTTGGTTGACAATTCTGATAGAAGAATTCTCTTGCTCCTCGTTTCCACCTCCTTCCTTATGAAATGGGACTAGAATAATAGTAACATGTTCGTCCTGTGCAACACTGCATATCTCTCTGTGCATGGCCGCGTAAGGAGACACAATTGTTACTGGTTGGATGGATATCGGATGGCTTTCTCTACTCCCTGTATTGCTTCCGAAACTGTGAGATCTGATGTGGTCTGACAGAACTCTTTCAAAGATGGGTTGGTTGAGATAACTGGACTTATAGGTATCATGAACAATCAGCATGGCTGAGGAACGGCCTGTCAGTTCTACTAAATGAAGAACAATAGTACTGATTGGAGATAGTTTAGTAGAGTTAGACAATTTTAAGAGAGTGCTCAATCCTGATAGATGGCGAGATTCATGAACGCACATAATGACTCGAAATTCAGAATCCTCTTTGCTTGTTTCGATAGTCCTGTGCTTGTATTGCTTGAGATGCTTTGAAGACTTACTAGCCCAATAAGGAAAAGGTTTCCCAAATGCTGTCATCACCACAAACACAATCACAATTGCAGGATATGTCACATTGTCCAAAGCCTGCATCAATGTCATAAAATGACTTATCAGAAATAGATTGAACGTGTATATCTGTGTACTTCAATTAAGTTGATGAAATCATCCTTTAACTATACCTGTACATCTCGGCCGACGCCAATAACAATCAGAGCCAAAAGGCCTTTTGTATTCATAAGAACCCCAAGGGCAATGCCATCACGAGCAGAGATACCAAAGGCCTTGCAGACAAGGAAAGAGCTCAAAACCTTGGCTGAGCAAGCCAAGACAATAATCACCAGCAACATGACTACATTAGTTTGGGACATCATAAATGCTATGTCAATTTTGCCTCCAGCAACCAGGTAGAAGGCAGGAAGCATAATTCCTATCACAAAGTCATTGACTTGTTCTATAAACCTTCTCTCAAGCTCCATATTTTGTATAACAATTCCAAAAACAAAAGCTCCAGTCACAGAATGGGAGCCACAAGCATCTGTGATCAATCCACAAATGAGTACTCCGGCAAGAATAATATTCACTTGAAAGTCTCTGCCACTGCTTTTGTTTAAGGAAGTTTTGATTTTGCTAAGGATCGGACGCACCACAAACCAGCAAAGCATTACGAAGCCAACAGTTGGGAGGATGGAAAGCTTATTATATCCAGTAAGCATTGTCATTGTGATAATAAGAATAGTCCATGATGCTAAATCATTGACAAAAGCTGAAGACAAGGCTATTTGTCCAAGATCCGTGCTGATGAGGTTGATGTCTGAAAGAACTTGAGCAAGATCGGGGAAGCTTGTGACAGTAAGAGCAACACCCCAAAACAACCCACCAAGAGGATTGGCAGAGGGAAATATGGATATATCGTGTGTAAACAGGAAATACAGACCGGCACCCATGGTCATAGAAAACAGAATTCCAGCCACGGCATTGCATAAAGCTTTCTTCCCCACTCTCCTAACCATGTTTAGATCAATCTCTAAACCCACAAGAAACATGTAATAAACAAGGCCTAAGTTTGCCATTGTCTCCAACACCTCATGGCTGTTCCATTTATGTATGTATCCAATGAAAAATGCAGATCTTGTGAATACTGGACCTACAAGACAAGCTGTCTACATACATTCAAAAATCATAAATTCAATACTCATTATAATAAGAAAGAAAATACAAGAACGACCAAGAGAACAAAGACGTTAAAAGCATTTTAAATCGAAATACCAATGACTAATTAACACAATAATCTACTGCAAACCTATTGCACTTACAATTATCTCTGCGAAAAATCGTGGTTGACGGATGAAGTTGAAGATGTAGAAGAACAAGCGAATCATGAACATCGCAATGCATAATTGCGCAGCAAAGACTGGAACAGTTTCAAACAAGGGGTTTGAAATTTTCCAAACAGACAAATTAGTATTTACAGTGCCGTAATAGCATACATTCAAGGCATTCGAAGGTGTCATTTGTATCCAAGTACCCCCAGGATATACAGATGGATCATATCCACTAGAGCCATTCATGTTGACAATGAAACTTTTGCTGACAAAATCAAAGAAAAATATGGGAGAAGCCAAGGAAACTTTAAAGAAAAGTTTCTCATGCAGCAAAACTAAACCTGGAAGAAGGCAAGTGAAAAATAAAATGGAAATATAGTTGACCAAATTTAAGCAGGGGGGCTGAAATAAGCAAATTTACAGAAGGCAGGTAAAATATAGTGCACGTACAGTATGCAAATACAGATATGACTGAAGCATTCAATCTTAATTTGTTTTGACCACTTCTTATTACTCACTAAAAATAACTCATTCTTATAGTTGGCCAAATATTTATGATATTTGTTGCTCACAATTTCTCGGTCTCAAATCAAGTCCCCATAAGAATGGCTTGTTCATAAACTATCGTTCGATTTAATTTACTTTTCACTAACAATAGCATGCATTGAAGGAAATTAAAACCGGGAGACGTTTGTGAAGTTTTTGAAGGTATTTTGGCTAAAAAGCCTCTTCTAGCATAGTCCTGTGATAGCACAACCTTGAAGGCTAGCTATAGATATATTTATTTAGCTTTTTTTTAAGTGAATCATATCTTCATTTTGGTATATTTCTATTTGGTTTCACTGAAAAATAATATTGAACAATACAAAATTTCTCAATATTTACATTTCAAATTTAGCTTGAAGCAAAACAAGCTATATCATATTATGAGTACTTAATTTTCACACATTTGTAATGAAATATTATTTACCAACTTATAATTTTTAGCGTTTACCTATCTATTATCCCATTTGTGCGGCTAGCATCTTTAACATTAAAATTTGTTTGATGTTAACTTTATTCATTCTATCACCAAACATTATAAACTATTTCTAACAACATTACGTTCTATATATATTAAATTTAGTATTTGGATATTAGAAGAAATTTATATAATTTAATGATGATTATAGTGAGGATATCACTGCCAAAAAAAAATAAAGGCATTGAGCGATGGTTTAAAAGTTTTTAGTGACGGTCCAAAAAAAGGATTGTCACTAAGGATTGTCGCTAAGTCATTAACAACGGTTTTTTAAGACCGTTTCTAATTTAGCGACGACAAAACCATCGCTAAATTTTTACAAATCAATGAATTTTTTTAACCATCCCTAATTAGCGATGATTTTTATAAATCGACGCTAAATCTATCTCTAAATTTGGATAATTCAGCGTCTATTTTTTAAAATGTCGCTAAATTCATATTTAATTAGAGACGGTTTTAAAAAATTGTCATAAATTATCCACAATTAGCAACTATTTATGGAATTTGTCGCTAAATCCATCTCTAAATAGCAACAAATTTAGTGACTTTTTTAGAATCATCGCTAAATTGTAATTTAGCGATCGTTATACTTTTCTTTTCTTTTTTGCAATTATTTATTTCATCACATAAGTGAAAATTTTAATCTATTCTAATTTAATAACAAAAAAAAACATTGTAAAAAAGATTTATAAACATTACAAAACCATTATAATAAATAAAATGAAATATATATATATATATATATATATATATATATCAAATTATTTTAAAGTTTATTAATTTTTCAAAAAAAAAACAAAAAGAAAACATAAAAGCTAGAGCAATCGGTAGGGTCGTCGGTCGGAGGATCGGTGGATGAACTCGCCTCTCTGCATATTCAACAACATCTCGTCGCATCATCGCATGCTACTCCCTAGTACACTCGTTGTAACTCATTTATAGTAGCTAAAAGAGATGTCGTACCCTCTAGTTTCTCAATTTTTTTTTAGTTTTTCTAGAATGATGAGCCGTCATTTCCTTTTCTTGCACCTCAATATCGACATAGAACCATGATGTGACCGAACTAGAGGATGTACCGATATAAGAGCATTAGTGAGAGACTTGTGACCCGAGTCCGTGCATCCTCTTCCTCTTACTATCTCCTCTTCCAACAGCCCTCTTGAAAATCTTGTTCATGTCGATATTGTGCGATGAAGTACCCTTCATCCGCCGATTAGCAACCTCCTCCTTAAATATTTTTTTGACGGTCTCCTACATAATTGCACAAATTTTAATATTCAATAGATATCTCAATAAGTTATATAAAAGTGATATATGTATGAAATAACCTTATAGATTAATTACTTACTCCGAGAATTCATGCTAATTGATCGATAAATATGCATTGATCATCAACCTTCTTCCTATTAGTCCTTAAGAAAACCTTATGAGTATCGGGTTCATAACCCATCTCATTATGCTGAAATAAATGTACTTAAATGTCACTAAATCCAAATTACATACGACATCAACGATGGTATTTGAAAAGTCGTAACTAAAAATAATCTTATATGACCAATTTATCGACGGTATTATATATCCCTCTCCAAAAAAAAATGACCACAAATAGCTACAAATTACTTAATTCCGTCACTATTTCATGTTTTTAGCGATGGTTAAATTATTTCCGGTAGCGTATTATGTTCAAAATATATATAAAAAAAACATCATATCATTAAATTACGCTATTAAAATATTTAGTATTAAGATATAGAAGGAAATTAAAAATATATATATAATTTAAAGACGATTTTAGTATAATGCTGTCTAAACAGAGATTGTATAATTTAGTTGGAGGAAAGTATACTAAGGAAAGGGCTTTGCTTTTCATAGATGAAAAGAGAAAGAAAATAATAATTTAAAATGAAGTAAAATTTATGATTTTATCTTTTATACTAAATAGAATGAATAATTTTCGTAGCAAACTGTTACCAGTCATATTTTACTATTTAGACCATTAAGTGTAACATTAATCTAAATCATATTGAATTTTCAAAAATTTCATATAATAGCCGCTCAAAAACGTATTTACACACCTGTTATGTCTTAAACTAAACATGCTTCCATAAACAATATTCATATTTCGTCAAAAGAATCAATACTAAATAATAAAAAATATTAAAATTGTTAGAATAAATTTCAATGACAATTATATATAAAGATACAGAATCTATAAATATGGATAAATATATATAAGAAAAATCAATGACAATTCTAAAGATACAGAATCTACCTAGATAGATTAGACATTAGACAATATAGTACAATTGAATATGCAACTTTTCACTATTCATGCACTGCTATTCAGCCCACGAGTTTGATCTAGCTAGCTCTCTTCAGCCTATGGGTGGATTTTGCATCTCATAGTTCTACTCAGCCGATGGGTGGATTTTGCAATCTCATAAATTGACAATTGTATGCGTATTTCGCCTCAAATGATTCCGAATTCACTAGTCAGATTTTACGTTACTCTACAAATCGAATAAAGTATATTTATTTTAATTTGATGATATATATTATATTATTGATTAATTAAAATATATAAAATTAAGAATAACAAAAATTCATCTAATTTTATAATTTTAATTAAAATTTTATATTAAATTTATTCTTCTTTATATTTATCATAAATTTTGTAGTTAATAAAACACAATATTATTGTTTAAAATTGATCTCTTTAATTTATCGTTTATGATAGAAATTTCTCATCGAGTAATTTTTTATTCTTCTTTTTTATATAATTTTATATGTTAATAAATATGATTTATTTTCTCTATATATAAATTTTTGAATAATTTTTTTAATAAATAATCAATTGAAAATTAGAATTCAAATGTTTTATTTGTTTTATATATATATATATATATATATATTGTAATTGTTTGTATTACGATCTAATAACTTTAATATATTCCTTACAATGTAAATTTAAAAAAATATATTTTTTTTTATTTATACTACATACTTTAACCTACTGAATATAGTCATGACACATAAAAACAAAGAAAATTAAGAATATTAGTTTTATTGAAAATTAACTATGTATCTACACATATAACACAAATCATTTACTACTTTTTCAATATTCTAAAATTAATTTCATAATTTTTAATCAAAATTTTGTATTTAATTTAATATTTTTATTTTTATTTTTATAAATTTTGCAAGTAAAAAAACATGATTTAATATTTCTTATGCATTCATTTTTAAATAAAAACATGTAATAATTTAAATATAAAATTAAAAAATATCTTAATATTTTTTTCATAAGATTGCATGGAAGAAATAAAAAAACAACTAATATAAAAATTATGTTAACAAGAAGACTAACTTTTTGAAAATATATACATTTAATTTATATATGTTTATTTAAAATAATCAATAATATTAGTATAAAAAATTATATTTGAATTGTTTGGTGGTTCTTCTAAAATATTATTTAAATATTTTATTTGAAAAAAATTAATTTTAGAATATTAAAAAAATAATAGCAAATGATTGGTGTTATATTTGTACATATATGATTAATTTTCAATAAAACTAATGATCTTATTTTTTATTTTTTATTTTTTATTTTTCATTTACATCATGACTATGCTAAGTGGATCCGTGCAGTGTAAATAAAAGAAAAAATACTTAAAAAAAAAAAAAAAAACTTAAATTGTGAGAAATATATTAAAGTTAATAAATTGTAATAAAAATAACTCGTTAAATTGATTCCGATAAATTTTGTTTATATAAAAAAATAAGCAAAAAAAACTAGAATTTTATTCATTTATTTTATAAAAAAAATTATTTAAAAATCCATACATAAAAAAATAAATTATATTTATTAATAAATAAAAATGCATAAAAATTAATTTGATAAAAATTTTCATGAGAAATGGAAAATTGAAAAGATCATATATATATATATATATATAAAATTGATTTTTCATAATTTTTACACACAATTCAATAATAAAATAAATAAATAAATAAGTGAAAAAACCCCCCAAAAAAAAAAAAAAGTCAAGCATGAGTGCTTGATCATCTAAAAACTAAAAATATCTTTTAAAATATCAGGGACTAAAATAAAACACAATGTCAAATTTACATATAAATGACAAAAAGAAAAATTAAAAATAAAAGAAATGCCTTGAATGGTGACCCACCCCAAATCTTTTAATTTTTTTTTTAAAAAAAATATAACATACAGGAGCTAACGGGTCTCACACACACACACACACACAATTATTGAAGTTCCGTTGACATTTATTCAGAAATTTTTTTAAAAATAATAAGAATTTCAAAAATTGTTAAAATAAACCCCAATGGCAATTAGAAATAGATGATATATAGAATTAAACAGAACAACCAATATCATTTTATCCAGCTCTGTTATTAACACAGAAAAATCCCTGCTGTACAAAAAAATTATAGAAATTGGTGGATTTCGTTGCTTCTAAGAAATTTAGTGGGTAATGCAAACTTCTTCGCTCTGTTTATCCCAAAAAAGAATTGCACTATTCTCATTTAATCTCCATCTGAGATTTTCATCAACTCTTCCAAATTTACGCCAAGCGTATCTGTTTCAAAAATCAAGAGATGGCTGGGTAGAAATAGCAGGTAGCTATTTGGTTGTTTTTTCAGAGGATGATGGAGCCTTTTCAACAGACTTGGTGGAGCTGGCACCCTCTTCAGTTTCAACAAGTTTGCGTAGCCTCTCTTGAAGAGCTCGCACTCTGTCCTCAGTTTTACGAAGCTTTCTCCATCTATAGGTAGTCCAGAGGCCGAAACCACCATATACAACAATATATGAAGCCCACACATAGGGATAAGTTTCTGCATGCTCTCTGATTTTTCGATATCGTTCTACTACCATTGCCCCAAAACCAGCAGCAGGGTGACTAGTGCTTGGCTGATCTTCTTCTCCTTTTTGCTGACTAGCCATTTCTTTATACTGTTTTCTACTACACACCAAACTGAAGCCAACAATGAAAAGTTCACCAAGTGATTGTAAATTTTGTTCCACAGAACGAAAATAAAACTAAAATACGTGGAAGTCTGTCAAAGAAGCAAAGACTTTACCAACAAAACCAAATGACAAGGTCAAACAAATTGAACTAGAATCATATTCATATCAGTACAAGTCAATGAAATAAGCACAAGAATTTATAAACAGACCATCACTTGAAATCTCAAGATAATTCAGCACTTTGTTGTCTTTCTTAAGAAATTCACAGTCATTAATATTCCATATTATCTTTTGGCATTTCCAGATCTTCACTCAACCATGAAGAAAAAATAAACTTATCTTGAAATCTCCAATTGATTTCAGTTTTTCCAGAGTATAACTTGCTTTTAAGATAACACACAGGCAATAGCACAAATCCTCAAAAGCACACACCTTTCCATTACATGTTGCTTTAAGCTAATTCTATGCTTTGAAGGCAAGGTCTCACAGCCCCATCCAACTTTCCTATACAAAAGAGAACGCCAAACCCAAATTTCTAAAAACTACAAACTAATAACGCTACACAAGAAAATAATTAATTGCTAAAGCAAGAAAACTGCAGGTATAGCTAATTAAGAATATCCTAGAATGGTCAAGCAAGGAACCCATTATCCACACCCATAAATCTAGAGATTTTTAATGCACCCAGTAAAGGATTTCAGCTAAATAACATCACAATTTGACCTGAGCAATAAAAACTAAACAAGGATGGCTGAATTTAAAAGACAAGCGTAGCAACCCAGAAAAACACAGAGACCATTGAAAGGTTGCGATGTGTGTGATAGAATTAGAGGTGGAGAAAAGAAGAAGATACCTGGTGGTTTCTCTGGATTTGGAGATGATTGATGGAACGAAGCCAAGCCAAGTTGCAGAGAAATGTGCTCGTCTGTGTGAAATATAGACAGAGAGTTAAACCCTAATCAGCTGTTGGAGATTGAGAGAGGAGTTTTACTTCTTCTTTTTTTGGTTTCCTTCAAACGCTCTCAAATTAATTATACATTAGTCCTTATAGTTTATTAATATTAACTGATCAGTTATTGTAGTATCAGAAATAATTAAGTAGTCCATTGACTAGCGTTGACTATCTTCAATTTGATTTTTTTTTTTTTGGTTCCATAGATGTCTTCTTTCTTCCTAATCAAATTCCTTCAACCATTTACTTTTATTTTCTTTATTTTATCAAGAAATAAAAAAAATAAATTAAAAATGAATGTAAAATTAACAAAATAAATTGAAAAGGAACTTAAAATTAACAAAATAAATAAATTCTAAAAGATGTGAGATATTTACTAATTTTTTTAGTAATTAAATTAAAAAAATAAATAAAAGTGTTCTAAAATGTATATTGCTATCTAAGAAGTTAAATAATTGAGTATCAACGTTTACTACTGTATCCCTTTTAAAAAAATTAAATTCATTTTTTTTTCAACTACATTTAATTTTAAAAGACAATATAATAAATACAATAAAAATAAATGAGTTGACACAACATTTAATATATATATATGTGTGTGTGTGTGAAAAGCTTAATAGGGCTTTTTTTTGCTGAAACAAAGAGAGTACAGTTCATATAATTTAAAATGTATGATACTATTTAATATAGCATGTTGTGTATTATAATGCATTTCTAGCAATATGATATAAACTAAAGCATTATATGCCCTACTATATATATGTACATTAGAAAATTATTTTTTTTTTTTATGATATTTCAGTCTCAAAATATCAAATTAATCTTTTAATATTTAGTTGGATATCCAAAAAAATTTTACGTACATAAAAATTTGAATTTGAATTTGAATTTGATATAAAATTAGAGATCATTCGGTTTAAGAATCAAGCCAAGAGTAGTAAATTATTATCTTTTAATAATATTATATATTTTATAATATTTTATTAATATTATTAATGTTTATATATAAAAGGATAATGAAGTTCTATGCCGCTCTTCCTTTTGAGTTTTTCGGTAAAAGTATTTTCTGTACATTTACATAGAAAAATATTTTCCTTTCTCTAAAGCTTGATTTATTTATTTTTGTTTTTTTTTCTAAAAAATGAATTTCGTTGACTGTTTTTCAAAATACATTCAAACATAGAAAACCATGAAAATACTTTTCAGAAAACACTTTTCGACAAACAAAGAAGGCATTATTTTAGAGCTAAAAAAAAACATTAATACTACATAAATGTTTGAAATTAACCAAAAAAAAGCACACACTTATACTCCGTAATATGTTTAGAATTAACCTAAAGAAGTCCGTGTGGTGGTCGATTAGGTTGGCTCTTCTCTCTTAACTTAATTACATTTATTTATTTTTCTTGACTTTCTGAATTGGAAATTTAAATCTAATATCCATAAAATTTATTAAATTTATTTAAATGAGTCAAATTAATACAAGATGCGTATTTGAAGTTGTCCAAAAAGAAAATTTTAGTCTCTAAGGAATGCCTTTAAAGATCACTCGGAAAAGTAATTTGGTCTAGTAATTTAATTTCGATTAATATGCAACCTCGATCCGATAATTTTTTATATAATTATTAAAATTTTTAATTAAATCATATAAAACTAACTAAACTAAGAGAATTTTTGTACATGATTGTGAAAAAAAAAAAAAAAAAGAGATGATTTGTCATTCACTCATACTCACGTGCACTATTTATTTTTACTATGCAATGATATTTTTGTTCTTTTGAACTTTTTTTGGACATTCATATTCAAATTTGACTTTGGGTTTCATTTGAGTCTATGATATTTTTAGTTCCTAAAGTAAATGACCATGCACTCATGCTTGCCTTCTTCTTTTTTTCTTTCTTCTTTTTTTCTGCTTTTGTTTTTTTTTTTCCCCAAGCAATTTATTTAAGTTTTTTTTATTATTAAAATGGGTGCAAAAATAATGAAATTTAATTTTTTATTCTTTTTATATAAATTTTTTTGTTAATAAATGTAATGTATTTTTCTCTATATATAGATTTTTTAATGAATTATTTTAAATAAATAATCAATTAAAAATAAAATTCATGAGTTTTATTTGCTTATTCTTTCTATAATTAAAATTTATTGGAATCAATTTTATAATTATTTTTATTACATTCTATTAACTTCAATTTATTCCTTACAATTTAATTTTTTCTTTTAAGTATTTTTTGATTTGTGCTTGAACACTCGATCTATTAAGTATAATCATGTGATATAAAACATAAAGTTAAAATCATTAATTTTATTAGAAATTAATTATGTATCTATACATAACACAAACCATTTGCTATTTTTTAATATTCTAAAATTAATTTCTTTCAAATAAAATATTTAAAATAATATTTTAGAAGAACCCCAAACAATTCAAATACATTTTCTTATATATATATATATCAAATGTACATATATTTTAGAATGTTAACCTTCTCATTAGCATAATTTTTATACAAGTTTTTATATTAATTTTTTTATTTCTTTGATGCAATCTTATAAAGAAAGTATTAAGATTTTTTTAAAAAAAATTATATTAATTTTTTATTTAGATTATTATATGTTTTTATTTAAAAACGAATGCATAAGAAAGAATAAATTATTTTTTTTATTTGCAAAATTTATTAAAAATTAAAAATTTAAATTAAATACAAAATTTTGAATAAAAATTATGAAATTAATTTTAAAATATTAAAAAATATTAAATAGTTTGAGTTATATTTTTAGATGTATAATTAATTTTTAATAAAACCAATGATCTCAATTGTTATATATATATATATATACACCGTACTCAATAAGTAACGAGTATGTTATATAAATAAAAAAAATATTAAAAAATTAAATTATAATAAATATATTGAAGTTAATAGATTGTAATAAAAATAATTATAAAATTAATTTCAATATATTTTGATTATATATAAAAAAAAGCAAATAAAATATATTCTAATTTTTAATTGATTATTTATTTCAAAAAATTATTCAAAAATTCATATATAAAAAAAATAAATTATATTTGTTAACAAATAAAATTGCATAAATAAGAACAAAAAATTATTTGACGAGAATTTTTATAAGAAACAATAAATTGAAGATATCAATTTTAAATAGTAAGTGCTGTGTTTTTTTAATTATAAAATTTATGATATATATATATATATATATATATATATATATATATATATATATATATATATAATTTTTTATTAGAAATTAAGAAACTAAATAAAAAAAATTATCTGTAATTTCATATCTTTTTATCGATCAACCATATAATACAGTATTATAAATTATCAAAATAAAATAAACGTATTTGGTTGGACCGCGGAAAGCATACCAGTGTTAACTACTAAGGATGTTTTTCTTTTTTTAAATACACAAATACCATCATGTCCTTCGGTATCCCTCTTCTCTGTGCTCGAGCGTTTTTCACTTCCCAGTTGTTAATGGAGGCTTGACATGACAAGGCTTGAGTCGTTGACTATCTACTTTAAACTTTAAAGTGACAGGCAATCGGACAACCAGAACTACTGCAATCAATAACATAGCCATAATTGTCTGTCTATCCTTCTAGACTAGTTGCAGCCAATTGTCTTTCGCTGCCTTCTCAATGGAATCATCACCTAGCAATGGTGAAGTAGCTGTCTTCACAGACACAAACATGGGCACTCACATTGCCATGGGCATCTCTCCTGACATCATTGTTGCCGATTTCAAGAGTAAGTAACATTCTTTCTATATTCTTTTTCTTGCCTTTCTTTGTTTATTATTAACATCCTCTCTTGATTTTCAAGAATCTCTCTTTTTCTTGCCTTTCTTTGTTTCATCTATATTTTTGTTTCAATTATTGAGCTGATTGTTGTTTTGATGTTTCACTTGATGTGCTTTCTGGGTTTTATTTACTTTTGGATTCTAAAGCACACGGTTTCTGTTTTTATGATCTTTTCTTGATGTGCTTTTTTTATTTAGACATAATGAATTGTCAAAGAAAAAGTTTTGTTAGGTGATAGTATTGGAGGTTAGATGGTGTTTAATAAGAGTCAACTTCAATAGCTTTTAGTTTCATGAATGGTGAAGGTGAAGAAAGTTATGATGTGCTGACTCAAGAAGTAGGCTTTTGGAGTTTTGAATAATTAGTTGAGATGAACGCATACTAGAGGTGGCTGAACATCCTAATCCAAGGAAGTTTAGGGAATGCCAAGTGAATTGAGAGTTGGTTGCAGGGAATTTTATTTGAGGGATCTATAACCGTGATGGGTGGTCCAAAATGTGGCGATGTCTGTTTATGTTGGGAAGTAAGTAACTCAATGCATTTTGAGAATTCTGTGGTGCAAAGAAGATCATTTCTTTTGTTAGATATTGACATTTTTCAATGTTTACGAGGCCAGGTTGATTGTTGATTACATGAATAATGTAGGCAATCCGAAAGGGATTAATATGTTAGATATGTCGTTCCAGATTACGAGGCAATTCAAAACATTGGAGAAGATAACCTGAAGTTATACTGTAAAATGTTGTATGTGTTTGCTTTTTCTTTTTCCTTTTTTCCTCTTTTTCTTTTCATTGTTCTTTTGTAGATGTCTAATTCATACTCGTGGTCTCTCAAAGTACGCATAACCTTAAACAGCTCCCCTGTAAGTTAATAAAGTTTTAATCTCAGTTTGGACCAACTAATTCAATGAAGTTTGTAATGAAGTTGGGTGAATGTAGTTCTAAATTATATAGCTGTTTTGAGTTGTGTTGGAGGAGATCCTGCTAATCTATTCTATTGAGTTTGCTTATCATATCACTGGACTATATACACACTCCATTTGGCTGTGTTTTCTGCTTTCAGGTTTCATATTTCTCCAAATGTTCCTCCAGCATTCTTTCATGATTAGCTTTGCACTGCATTTGATTTGGTTTAAAAAGCTGCTTGTAACATTTTTTATGCTTACCCTTCCTCTACCTCATAGAAAAGTAATGCATGCCTATATTTGTTCTATAGGAGAGCTGGAGAAAAGGCACATCGATTGTTTTCCAGAATTGGGAGAGATTAAAGTTTATGAATTAATGGTATTTTTAAAATGTTCCTTTTGCTTTCTTTCAATTTTGATTTTGTTTGGGGATTCCTTCATGTTAAATTTTCATACACTTCTGTCTTTAGTAGGTAAAGAGAAAGAACTGCTTCTACCACCTTCCGGAGTCACTGCCTATAAAGTATGCTTTTCAGGGTCTCAAAGGAAATTGGTTTCTCCATGTGACAGTAAGGCCTCCAAATAGCTTTGCAAATCAACACTTACCCCAGTGTCTAGCTGCAAAGAATGACCATATTTCTGATGGTAGCAATGCCATTGGCTCCCTCATTACAAACACCAGAAAAAATGGTATGATATGTAATGGTAATAACAAGGGGAAAAAAGGATTACTTGGCATCAAACCACCAGCAGAACTTCCGAAAACTATCCCTTGTTTTGAGAAAAGTAAGGAAAAGAAGAGACTGGCTGACATCGACAAGGAATTTGATAGAAGTGAAAAATCCCCAAATCTTGCTGCCAAAGAGTGCTCTGGTTTACTTTCACATAGAAATGAAGTTAAGCGTGCAGCAGCAGAACATCCAAAAACTGTCCCTTGTTTCAAGAAAAGGTGCAAGGAAAAGAATAAACTGACTGACATCAACCAAGAATTCGACAGAAGTAAAAGTGCTCCAAATGTCGTTGACAAAGAGTCTGCTGGTTTACTGACACCTAGAAATGAAGTTGAGAATGCAACAACACCAGAAGCACTCACAAAAACTGTCACTTGTTTCAAGAAAAGGAGTAAGGAAAAGAAGAGAATGGCTGGCCTCAATAAGGAATTTGATAGAAGAAAAAAAGCTCCAAATCTTGCTGCCGAAGAGCACTCTGGTTTACTGACACCTAGAAATCCAGTTAAGCCTGCAACCTTTTCCTGCTCAATGGCGGAGACACCCACAGAGAGGCCACAAGAAGTAATATTTGCTAAAATTAATGATTTCTCATATACTCAACTTTATACCTCACCACAGTTTGACAGTAGAACGCCTCCTAGAACACCGGCTTCTCCATTGTCAACAAATCTTCGACCTGGAAATTCAGGGAATAAGCTAGAAACGACTTCTGCAGTTGGGAAACGCATAATGACGGCTGCAAATAAGCTCAAAATTCCTGCCAATAAACGGAGACCGGCGCTTTCTTCCTATAGATTCAGAGGTCTCTCCAGGGCTTCATCTACAGTTATGAGATCAATCTTTGATATCAGTGACAATGATGAATGAAGAAATTTCAAGGTACCAGCTGTCACATGGGCAGTCCATGCATTCTTTCAAATGCACGTTACCTGTTGCTCATGTTTGCAAATGCATGCATTCATTTTTATTCACTGGCATTGATAGCTTTTCTGGTCTTTCTTTGATCAGAATGGGTTGGCTTGAGTTAATCACTGTCGGAACTCAAGAACAAGAAAGGGATTGGAAAAGGAACAGATAGAAACAATCAAGTGGGAAAAGAAAAAGTTATCGTCGCCTAAGAGTTAGGGTAGAGCTTTAGGTGTAGAGCATAATGAAACAAAAAAGATCTTTTAAGTCCAGCAAATCAAAATTGCAGGCTTGTTTCTGAGCTGTAAAGCGAGTCAACATGAAATCATTCTGAGATGAATGGTGAAATGGCTTGGAAATGATTCAGAATCATCAGACTTTCATTGTATTTTTCTGGGTTTTGAGATTACAACTAATCATCGTTTTCTGCAGGACTTCTGAACAAAGACTCCCGAAGAAAGGCTTCAGTTAATATGTCGCTACTGATGGTGAACTGCTGGTCCTAATTTTGCACGAGGCTAGTAGAAAAGAACCAGCGCAAGAGTTTTTAATAACTTAGCAGAGAACCATAGTACTCGTGATAAAAAAATCGACCCATTTTGCTGGCTGAGAAGAGTTTGCTGCTGCTCAAATTTTGTACTTGTGCGTTGAGGCCGCATGCAATTTGAAAATATCACCATATGTTAAAAGTTGATGAGCATGCATGATTCATTTCTAGTCTCCTGTGCTTTGATTACTAAAATATATTTGATCGACAAAAAAAAAAAAAAAAAAAAAGAGGCCAAGAAATATTTGCCATCGTTAAAAAATTATCATAAAAAAATAAAGTTTTACTAGACAAAGGAGATGATAAATTTAAATTACAAAGTAGATAAGAACAGGAAAATTATTACAAAGATTACGAAGGAGAACAACTCCTGACTGGAGGAGAAAGAACTAATGAACCTTCCTTTTTAGCTCTGCAATAAGAATATGTGATCCGTTAATTAATTAATTTTGTTTTTGTTCATCTAATTATTAGTATTTTTATTTACTAATAATTAATAATGCTTTACGTCTAACCTTTTTGGGTTTGCTATTTGCTACTGAGAGTATTGTTTATGGAAGACATATGTATTAGTATATTCCTTTCTGAGTTGTCCTATGTTTTAGTTAGTACTAGCCGATTGTCCGCAGTGGAATAAGACAAAATCGTTTTAAAATTTTATAAATTTTTTATTATACTTTTTTTATATTTTTTGTGAGTTTTTTACTTAAAGAAAACATGATTTATTCTTATTTAGAACAATGATTTTAAACACAGAATACAGTGAATACACAGCGAAAATAAAGAGAGGAAACAATGATGAACAGTAGATGTTATTTCAATCAGCCTCCACGTCTTATTTTTTGCTCTAATTTTCTTTCTTTGTCCATTTCCGTCAGGAATAGTAATGGAAAATATGCGTAAATTTCAATTTTATTTGTAAAATTTATGATATATCTCAATATCATGCAAAAAAGTAAAAAATAAACAAAAATAAAAAGTAGAAAATCGATTACAAAAGACATTGCTTTAGTAAAATAAATATGACAAAACTTGAGAGGGTTAGTCTATCAAGAAGTACCACAATCTTATTAACTTCAATTCTCCCTTAATAACATTTACTTTTTCTTTGTCAATACTATGGTTAAATAAAAATTAAGATTCAAGTGATGTTAAACTTGTCTTATTCTCCTTCTATCATTCCAACTATATGCAATTTTATATCATTTTATTTAGAATTATTGTTCAAGATTTTGTAGTAAATTTTGATGGAGAATTGAATCAAAATGTGTAGATATGATATGTTAGTGATAGAGTGTGGTTGATATTTTAGTTTATCGTATATAATTTTTTAGCTTAATCTTAATTCTTTTATTATCAAATAACTAGTAATTATTGTTGATAGCAATATTATTTTTATCATATTTTTTTAATTTTAATTAATCCATTCTTACCTTTCAGAGTTATATTGAGATATTTCACTAACTTTGAGTACAAAATTGAAATTTACATATATTTTTAGAAAAAATAAATGAAAATAAAGTGAAACAAATATGAAAGATACATAATCTAATTAAAAAAATAAAAACTTCTCAATTAAATTAATACAACACATAAATATAAAGGAAGCAAATTGAAATTAATAAAAAAAAACTAAAACAAAACCATTGTTTACAATTCATTTTACTGTTCCAAACCCTATTCATTTAGGCCCATTTGTATTATTCACCAAAACTCATTTGCACTATTTCTTTTACCACAATGTGGCATTGTTGTAATTTTTAAGGTTTCTTAAAACATTTAATATGTAAGTTATTGTGACATTATACTTTAGTCTTTTATTTTTTTACACATTTTTGTTTCAATTTCGAACTTTATTTCACTAGCTTGGTTTTTTTAATACTTTAATTTTATTTTTTATTTTTTTTGCAAAAATTATAGAAAATTGATCGTTATTTTTAAAATTTTCCACACAAAATGATAAGAAAAAAATATATATGTGATGCGTTTCATGTTTTAAAATGAACATATATATCATATTACAATATTCTTATTGTTTAAAAATTAATTCTTTTAATTTTTCATTTCTTATAGAAATTATCATCCAATTAATTTTTAATTTTAATATTTATAAAATTTTATTGGATGGAAAATATGATTTATTTTTCTCTATGTATAAATTTTGGAGTTAAATTTTAAAATATGATCATCTTCTCTCTTTTTTTTAAAAAAAAATTAAGATAATTTATATGATGAATTTCTATGATTTTTAAAATATATATGTGTGTGTGTATGTGTGTCAATTTTTTTTAGATTATTTGTCTCATACTTGAAAAAAAAATCTAAAAAAAAATTAATAATTAAAAGTAAAATGATAAAAGAAAAGAGGAAAGAATTCTTTTGTGTGTGAAGTATGCACACGAGGACTAGCCATATATGGCTTAGGAACATAAAACAAAATTTGTTTAAAAAAAAATTAGAATTCATGTGTGTTATCTATGCTATATGATAATAAAAAGATAGATTTTGGATAAACGACATTTAGTTTGCTACTCATGTTTTTTCTTATATTAAAAATAATAATTAAAAAATAAACTAGCAATAAAAAAATTCAATCAAATTGAATAATCACTCTAAAAAATGAAACGATATTATTAAATATCAAATAAACAAATCGAATACACACACACACACACATATATATATATATATATATATATATATATATATATATATATATATATATTGGTTATAAAAATAATTTTAAACTTGAAATGAGAGATTTAAAATATAAATTAAATTAAAACAATATCTTAATACATTCATAAAAAACAACACAAATTTTAAATAAATATATATAACTATAAATCAAATCTCACAACAACGCACAGATCAAACACTAGTTTAACCTAAACTAAAATCTTAATCTAACAGTACAAAGGTAAACAAATAGTACAATGTTATACAACAACGCAAGGATCAAACACTAAATTATGATTTATTTACTATTCACTCGCAGCTGCAAACCATAACTAGTTGAGGCCCATAAGATTGGATTGGGCCTCAACTAGTTATGGTTTAAACAAAACAGCAAATTTTGTTCATCTTTTTTTTCCCTAAAAGAAATGAAAAGGTTCGAACGAAAAAAAGAGCTATCTTTTTTCGTAGCTTACTCTTCCAAAGTTAAATTCGTCATTAGAAAAAAAAAAAAAAAAAAAAAAAAAAAAAAAAAGCCACGTTGGAAATTTCGGTTAGGTCCTTTCTATCCAATGTTTTGTGCCATTTTAATAAGAGCATAGTGATGGTGCAAGAATAAAAGAATCCAGCACATGATGTTGAACAATGGGAAGGGGACATCGTCACATACAACAAAGCAAAGAATAAAGGTCTGGCTTTTCATTCTCGAGGCACAACACCAGCCAGCTCAAAAAAGAACAAAAATAATTATATGTTAAAATAAAGTCCTCTAAATCTCAGCAGTAAATATTTTAAGTGGCCATCACCATCTGATGCAAGAAAGCAAATAGTTATATTCGTCTTCGAGTACAGCATCTAATTGAAAAAAGCTATTCAACCTAATATTCTTGTGGAAATTTTGCTGCTGCATGTCTCCATCATTTTCTACAGCAAATTCAGAAATGACCAAGAATTGGGGACAAAACCAGTCAAATGGACAATAAAACAACTTTCCAGTCTAGGAGGAGGCAAACCTTGCACAAAACCTCTCTTCCAAGACCTCACCAGTGGATTGAACCAAGAAAAGAAATTGAAAAGATGAACCAATACAAACCCCTATACATTGAATGATACCACCAACCGAGATATATGTGCACATTGCTTTCCACTGGCCTATCGTTAGTCAAAGCTTGATGTGCGGCTCCATCTCCCTTGCAAGTAATCTTCTATTGATACACCTTGCTCAGTGCTGCTGATAGAAAGAGAATCATCCTCTAAATCTAGTAGCGCAATGTTCAGATGGGATTGGATATTGATAGGAAATGCTTCACCATCCACAGCATCGAGTTCTTCTGTTGCACAAACTTGACGCTTTGCCCAATTTTTCACTTCTTCATCCCCTTTGAGGAGCTTCAAAACCTGTAGTTAACCAAAATATCTATGAGCAAATATTCAATTTGTACAAAAGAAAAGGAAAACAGTGTAAAATTTGCAATTAAAGCATTTGGAAAAAATTAACTTACAAGGCTCATTTGTGGACGACATCTAGGAGAACGTCTGATGCAAAGGGTAGCAGCTAGTATCATTCTTTCAATGTGATCATCATCATACTCCCTGCCAATATGTGGATCTAGTAATTGGGAAACTTTACCACCTTCTAGAATTGGTTTTGCCTGTATCCCAGCATCATGCAATAATTAATTATACAGTATAACATCACGAGATTCTTAGATAAGTACAGTAACAGATTCTCAGGTTTCTTTAAAAGAAGAAAGTAAATCCAAATTTTGCACTCAGTTTATTCAATCAGAATCATGTAGCTTATAGGAACAGATAAGGAAATCAAACCCTAATCACCTGAAAATTCCTGACTTATTTGACAGAAACAAGTTCATGTTGAAAACAGTCTTCTTTACATTTTCTAATTTGTACTCTAATTTGTACTCATATTGCCCTGACTTCTTGTTATAGCAAATATATTTCTTCACGCATCCCCTTACTAGATAACTCTTCAGTTCTGAGTTCAACAAGGAAAAGATGGACCTTACCCACATGACAAGGCTCTCGCGGCCTTTCAGATTTTCACCGTTAATTGGCATTCTACCAGAGAGAAGCTCAAGGAGCACAACCCCAAATGCAAATACGTCCACTTTATCACTCACTTTTCCATGCATGAAATATTCTGGAGCCAAGTAACTGCCACAAAAGGAATATATAGTATATTCAAACTCTCAAGTAAAAGTAACTGCCACAAAAGGAATATATAGCATATTCAAACTCTCAAGCGAAAAAATAAAATAAAATAAAATTAGCTAAACAAATATGAATTGCAAAGCAAACAACTCACCCAAAGGTTCCTGCAACATCAGTGCATGTTGTATGGCATGAAGTAGAAGCCCAGCTAGCCAGTCCAAAATCTGACAGCTGAAGGAACGAATCAAATTATGATTAACATCAGAAACTGCCAGTGACGGAAGAACCTCATATAAATCCACAAAAAGCTTAAGATACAGCACCTGTGGCTCAAAATCATCTGATAAAAGTATGTTAGAAGATTTTACATCCTTATGGATCACAGGCTGATCACAGCAATTGTGCAAGTAATCAAGTGCCTCTGCTACACCCACGGCAACCTTGTATCTCTCTTGCCAACCAAGTGCATTGCCATCTTTCTTATCACCTAGGCAGGAATTAGCAATTGGGAGTTAAGGATCACTTCAATGTTGAAAATGAAATAATCTCATCCAATCCTAAGCAGAGAAAGTAAGTACCATGTAGATTCTCTTCTAGGCTTCCTCTTGATAAAAAGTCATAAACCAAGAGTAATTTGTTGTCCTCAAAACAGAACCCAAATAGAGAGATTATGTTCTTGTGATGTAAAGTTGTAATGATTTCAATTTCTGAGACAAACTCTTTTAATACGTCTTGAGATGGCTTTAAAATTTTCACTGCCAATTCCTTGCCATCAGGAATGCACCCTTTGTAAACATGACTACTACCACCCTTGCCTACCATATTATCTGGAAGTAACAATTCACTAAAAAATTAGGAGAGAAAAGATGAAAATGTGCTCAAGTCAAAACTAGTGATATGAAATTCAGATAAAGAGCAAACCAGGAATAAAGTTTGAGGTAGCCATCACAAGTTCCTCATAGCTGAATAATCTACAGGACGATGAGTATTTTTCATGCAGATCTTTCAACTCTTCTGGAATGCCATTTAAGCCATGGCATGGAGAAATAGGAGTCCAAGCAACCTCAGGCCCCACAGGCACTATTGCAGATTTCTCTCCTTCTAAGTTCGAGTTTTGATCTCCATCCATGTGTGAAATATTCTGTTTTTGATCTGGATACACCACAGATGAAGAATTACTCGTGGGTAACCTAAACACCCATTTAACCACAGACATCTTTTTCATATGAGCTTTCTCTGTGGGCTGCTGCTTAGGGAAAAATACTCGACGAAGAAATGACCAACCCTGTTTTGACTCGACCAATCCTTCACTCACATTGGAATCTGAATTTGATGGTGTCCTGCTCGTTTCAAATGGTACCAAAGCCAATGAGTTATCATTATTGCCATTCCTACATGACTCCTCCAATAATTGTGCTCCAGAATCATCTGGCAATAGCAAGCGTGGAGTACAATTTAGAGAGTTCTTATTCTGAGATTTTTTAGAGCAATTTCGACTTTCTTGGTTCAATTTATCTGCCACCACAAAATAGTTGCATGAGTTATTATTTTGATATTACACAAACTAAGCAAACAAGAACCATAATTGTACTACAGCACAAGATAACAAAAACAAGCAAATCTATGAAACCCCAAAAGAGAATTATTCTCATTACAGAACCAAATCAAGAACATAAAAAACCCAAAAGAGTAATCAATTAAAACCTTGTAAAGGATCAATATTTGCAACTGTTGCTTCTCTCTGGAACACGATTTTGCCATTCTTAACTGCGTAGACAGAAAAACCTTTCGACAATTTTTTAGCACAGTACTTAGCTGTTGAGGTTGAAGAGTACAGTTTCTGATGTGACTTGGAAGTTCCCACAATCAGCTTAGCAGCACCACTTGCTTTTGCTTCCCTTACCAGAATTTTCTTCACTGATTCACCTCTACACACTTTTAGCTTCAAATCTACCTGAAAAACAATTCACTCAATTCAACATTCATCCTCTCAATCCCACAATGAAATATAATAAAAAAATACCCTCCATTTCGTTGGTGAAAATCAGAATTTCCACTAAAATTTCAAAACTCTAGACTAATTATACTTATTAATTTAAAAAGAAAAAAAGAAAATAATAATAATAATAATAATTTTCCTCAATTTTCTCAGAAACCAAGCAGCAAAACACCCCATTCCCAAAACTTAAAAATGGAGGGAGAGAAAATTACTAATTTTGGAAAAATGAGTGAAAGAAAGGAACCTGCTTTAGGTTGCAGAAACCTTCATAGACAGCCAACAATGAATCAAATGTCTTCACTAATGACAGAAGTGATCCAGTCCCTGCCATACATTCTACAACACAACCACCAAAAACCACACAAAAAGATCAAAATTTGACAAAAATAAAACGAACCCATTTAAGAGAAACACGACCTTTGTTACCGTTATCATTACCAGTTGCCGAATCAAGAACATGAACAGCAATGACACGGTCACCAGGCTGTGCCATTTTCATTAGTGACCATGTCAAAAGTTCTCTACTTTGTCCATCAAATTTCACTCCCACCACCACCACTTCACCTTCGCCGCCGCCACCACCACCACACCCACCGTCGTCTCCACATCCACTGGAGACAGTTTTGTCAGTGCCCATGTCGGAAATTCCCACTTTACTCACTAAAAATGATCTGTCGTTTTGGCTTCTTTCTCTGTGTGTGTGTGTGTCTCTCTCTCTCTCCCTCTCTCCCTCTCTCTGTGTGGGAAAATCAGAAAAATGAAAATGATTGTGCAAGTAATGTGATCTTTTCTTTTAATAAAAACTTTATAACTTTTTAACTGTCTGTAAGAAATGTTATTCTGTGCCAGTTAGTCTGTGGTTATAAATTGTGATTTGCAATGTCATCCGTTGGATGGAACAAATGGTTTTGTCTTTTTTTTTCAATGGTTTTGATGATGGAAGAGATGATCGGAACGTTGAAATATTTTCCAACCAGCTTCCCCACGCTAAACTAAAACTAATTAAATATCTCACCAGCTAATTATTGGAATTTTCATTGAGGACAAAAATGGAGCAAAATGAGATATAGTGCAATCAACTATTTAAATCTTTGTGTTGTGTTTTATTTTTAGTGATTTCATCAAGAGAAACTTTATCTTAATTCAGAAGTAAATAATAATATTTATTTTATAAGTGCCAATAGATATAAAGAGAAAAAAATTAAGAAAAAAATTTAAATAATCAAAATTAAATAGAAATAGAAATATTCTACGACTGTGAATGGATTCCAATGTGATTCTTTTTTTGTCCTTATCTTCAAAATAAATATATAAAATAATCATTATAAATTATTTTTTTGAGCATTTCAAAATTATTTATTTTATTAAAGTCCAACTTGTTTTATTATAACTTCTTTTTTGTTTTTGGTGCTGGTCAAAAATAGGAAATTTTCTTTACAAGGATATATACTATACATGCAAAAGTTAAAATGATAAGTTGATTCCATTTTTGGATTAAAATTAAAATGAAATGGTATATTGTACGGAATAGTTGGAATCCAAATTTGTTTTTCTTTCTTTCTCAACGGAAAATATTAGATATTATTATTCTAAAAATAAAAACATGAAATGTTATTGATATCTCTTGTGATTCTTTTTTTCTCAAATGAATAGAGAGAGAAAAAAAATTATTGAAGTTGTAATTTTTTTTTTTTACTTAAATGGATTAAATGCTCAATTAATTCAAAATTGTTGACATCTTTTGTGAATCATATTCTTTATCTAATTTCACTCAATTCATTTTAATACGTAAAGCTTTAAACCATCAAGAATATGATCTAGTGGTAAAAAAATTATTTTAATTTCATCAAAATCAAAGTTTTATTTCTATTATTTACATTTAATTAGTCACAATTATTCTTTAATTGTATCGGCTGAAATTAGTTTTCATTGATTCGAAACTAATATAAATATCTTACTACCTTTATATATATATATATATATAAGTGCAAAGTTTTACATATAGATGATAAGAATATCAAATGTGAAATATACTAAATGCAGCATTATAAAGAAAAAAATAACATTGCAGAGTATTTCACGATACATCTTTGGCATCCATCCATGAAGTGTTTTTTTTTTTTTCTCTATCTTTTTAATCTCTATATAAAAGCAGAACACAATTTTGTTTTTTTTTCATTGGATGAATTAAAATTTTGTCAAAAGTATTTTATGATCTTAGAGGAGAAAAAAATACTACTTATTTCATATAAAAAGTTGATCTTAAACTTTGTGTTTTTTTTTTTTTTTTTACGATAAAGTTTTTCATGATGATTGAAGAAGCTCGAATTTAAGGCAGTAATCATACAGATTATAAACATAGAAATGCTAATACTTGGAAAAATACATATATAATAACTAAGGGGGATGGCTATAACTTTTCAAAAGTAATTGAATTAGGGAGGATGGAGTGGACTACGAATTGAAGGAAAGAATCATAAAACTAGAACAGAATCTTCAAAATTGCTTGCTTGGTAAGGCTTCCATATTTCGATTGTTATCATTTTTCTATTTCTTATTTTGGTTTTTGTTTGATGGGTAGTGGTAGTTTCTACACAACACAAGGCAGCTTTTGTTTGTTTCCAATTCCATAGCCTCCCCTCCTTATAAATGAAGTCACTTCATTGGACCTTCACCTGTTTAGAATAATAGCTTGGAGAGGTTTTACTTAATTGAGGTGACTGACCTTGTTTTCACTCCTTCCATTATTATTTCCTCCATAATTTATAGATTGACCAAATTAATCAACTCTCTTTTAAGCTTTAATTTAATTTAATTATTTTTGTTTTTTATAATAATAATAAACATTATAAACCAAGCTCTTTTTTTTAATATTTGCATATAGTAGGGTATTTTTTAACTAATTTTTGCATAAATCGAGACTAAATCTACTCGCTCTTTTGGCTAAATTAGTAACAAAATGCGTTTAACTTTTAATCGATCACTTAACTCGTCTCTTAAATCAAATCGATCAAAACTAATACCAATAAAAGATAATTATACTAGTTATCCGTGAATAACAAAAATTAAACTTTGGTCATGGCTAAATCAAAACAATCTCCTCACCATTAGACCACATTCTTTGGTGGTTATAAACCAAGCTATTATTCATGAAATTTACTTCAATATAAGAAATATGACTTACAAGTATATATTATTGTAAACACCAAAAATAATTCCTTTATTTTTTATTACACTCTCAAGGTAATATAGGGCTAGCTTACGCATAAGTTAAAACTAAATTTTCTCTATAGACAATCTTAATGATGCATCTTCTGCATCGATTTTTGTAGATGTTGACTTTAAAATTCAAACTCAAATCTCATTAACCATTAGACCAATTCCTTAAAAATGAGTTCTTTTAGTGTGGAAATGTTTAATATATATGACTTTTACATATAGTTTAGATATAAACTACTTTTTTTGTCGCCGTTATGTTATGGGTTGGATAGAACATTTGAAATCATTTGCAAAAAAAACCATTTCAGTTTGATGGTTTGTACTATTCCGTGAGTCCATAAAAATATATGAAATCAAAGATTAAAAAAATTATTTACAATTTTTTAGTCAAATTTTTATATTTAACTATTTATTCCTTGTGTTTTTCACAATTTTCTTCTAAAAAATGATTTATTGGGTGGTTACGTTAAAACAAAATTTCAATTATTTAATTTGAAAGAAGTTGATTTTAGAATATCAATCAATAAATAAATAGTAAATGCTTAATGTTGTTGTAGTTGCGTAATTGATGTCTAAAAAAACAACAATTCAATAATTTTTTTATGCATCGTAATTATATTGAGTGGGTTCAGAATTTACAACGTAAAAAAAACACTATAAAATATTTTTAACTTGTAAAGAATATGTTGAATAAATTTGAAGTTAATAGTTTAAAATAAAAATTATACAAAATTGATTTCGATAAGTTTTGATCATATAAAAAAGAAGAAAATAAAACACATAAATTTCTTTTTCTTTTTTTCCTTTTTAAATAATTTTTTAATTTTTTATTTGTAGGTCATACCTGGCTAGTCTTTATGCATAGGCCTAACAAGCATAGCAATTATCTCATTTTTGTTTTTCACATTCTACTTTGAATTATTAATTAATTATTTTAAAAATAATTTAAAAAAAAACTATTAAAAATTATTTGAAATACATTTTTAATCTAAAAATATATTTTAAAAAATTATATATATATATATATATATATATATATATCATGTTATTATAATTTAAAAACTCTAAGAATCAATCATATAAATTATATAAATCTATTTTTTAAAAAAGAATAATCATATTTTAAAAAATTATTCAAAAATCAATAAATAGAGAAAAAATAAATCAAAATTATTAGTAAATACAATTTTAGATTAATTTGAAGAATTCCAATCATGTCCCTCAGGCCCCTTCACAAAATGAATTCTAGCCACCAGTTGATGCTAACAATTCATGACATGCTAGGCTAGGCTACCGTGCCAAATTGTCATTTCCTGCAGACATGCAAGTGCCCACATACATGGGTCAGTAGGCTGGGTTGGGTTTCATTCTTCGTAGTAAAATATGAGACAAATTCAACAGCACAAAAAGCACGGCAAACCAATGGATCAAATCAAATAAAGCTTTGGTGATCGGCTTTTTGATAATTATTTCATCACCATTAGTTTGGCTTCCTCCATCTCTATTGGCCCTTTTTGGATCACTGCTTGAAATTAAGTTACCTTCCCTAAAACCCCATTAGTTTCGTTACAGAACTTTTCACGAGGTATATATAAAGACAGCAAACTATCCTTCAATCAGTAAAGGTTTGACCATTCAAAAAATAAAAGAGAGGCATGCAATCCAAACTGTATTTCTTCACGAGAAACTATTATTATTCATAATTAAAAGGTGTAGAAGGGGTTCTCGATCAATTTGCATGTCTCTTCGATTTCATTTTGTGTGTTTCTTGATCTCTTCCTGGCGTATAAATTAAAGGAGCCTTCTCACTTTCATTCATGTAGATTGCAAAATAGTATCATTAATTATTTATATATGTTCTCAACTTTATTTATTCGATCACATGCGGTGTATGATCACTCTTTAATTTATCCTCGTTAATCATTGACTTGCCCCAAAGTAAAACAAGTGGAATCAGAATTAATGGGGTAATATCCTTTGATACCTACCAAGGAGCCTTTTATTTATTTATTTATTTATTATCCCTCGAGAACCAAAGGAGCCATTCTTCTTTAAGAATGGAAACTAGATATGATCGGATGTTCTTCTTGGATACCTTTATCTCTGAAAAATAGATATAATGCTAACCTTCCAAAAACTGAAGAGATTAACAAACATATATGTATATATACATGGTAAATAGATTTAATCTGGTTATGTATATATAATTTCCAAAGTTTTTCACTGATTTTAAATTTTTAATCCCACCTCATTTGTTTTTTTAAATATTCAATCTATCTTTTCGATTATAAATAAATTTTTTAACCAAAATGTTAGCACTTAAAGTTATATTACTTGTATATTCTATTTTTGAAATCCTTAAAATTTTATTTTATTTGTATTTCAATCAAGAGTATTTTATTTTGATTAAAAAAAACT